GTTAAGTTAAATAAATATTTATTTTTATTATTGTATTGTTATATTTGTTCTGGTAATAATATGGAATAGAATTTAATTTAAATCAAAATTTGATTTAAATTTAAATTTAAATTTATTTTTACTTTCTAATATATCTAAATAAATTTTATTGCATTATATTGTATTAGGTATTAATATGAATTATTAGTAATAAAAGTTTTTATAAAAAAAAAAAAAATGATATACTTACCCACCTTAATATCTATAGTAGAAGTGCTATTAGTTACTGTGCCTGTGTTATTAACTGTAGCTTATTTAACAGTAGCCGAAAGAAAAGGATTAGCTAGCATGCAAAGAAGATTAGGGCCGAATACAGTGGGTTACTATGGTTTATTACAAGCATTCGCGGATGCCTTAAAACTATTGTTAAAAGAATATGTATCACCTACACAAGCTAATTTTGTGTTATTTTTCCTTGGTCCAATTATAACTTTAATATTTGCACTGCTAGGTTATGCTGTAGTACCATATGGACCTGGTTTAGCTATAAGTGATCTTAATTTAGGTATATTATATATGTTAGCTGTTTCATCTTTAGCTACATATGGTATATTATTAGCAGGATGAAGTGCAAATAGTAAATATGCCTTTTTAGGTTCACTTAGAAGTACAGCTCAATTAATAAGTTATGAACTAATATTAAGTTCAGCTATTCTTTTAGTAATTATGTTAACAGGTAGTTTAAATCTTACAGTAAATGTAGAAGCTCAAAGAGCCGTTTGATTTATAATACCTTTGTTCCCCATATTATAATCTTCTTAATAGGATCTATAGCAGAAACTAATAGAGCCCCTTTTGATTTAGCTGAAGCTGAATCTGAACTAGTTAGTGGATTTATGACAGAGCACGCTGCAGTTATATTTGTATTTTTCTTTTTAGCCGAATACTCTAGTATTGTTCTAATTTGTGTTTTAACTAGTATATTGTTTTTAGGTGGATATTTATACGATATTTTACCTTTTTCTATATTTGGTTTATTCCAGTTTATAGATTTTGATTACTATGTAGAAGAAACTTTACATTATAAAGTGTTAGGTCCTGAATATTACTATAACCCTTTAACTGAAGGATTATATTATGGTCTAAGTTTAGGATTAAAAACTTGTATCATGACTTTTGTATTTATATGGGCTAGAGCTTCTTTCCCTAGAATACGTTTTGATCAATTAATGACATTTTGTTGAATAATTTTATTACCTATAGTTATTGCTTTTGTCGTTTTAGTTCCTTGTATATTATATAGCTTTGATATAATACCAAGTAATATTCCTTTACTTTAGTTTTTTTAATATAACTTTAAGTAAACCATACTCTTATTAGCTCAATGGTAGAGCAGGATACTTCTAATATCTAGATCTAAGTTCGAATCTTAGATAAGAATTAAGGTTTATAATTAGTTTATTTAAACTATGTTAAACTAGAAAAGGAATTTAAATCCTTATATACTTAAAGGGTATAATATAAATCCTTTTAAGTATGCGAAAAAAAAAGACAATAAAAATAAGGAGATAATAAAAATAATGACACATTCAAACATATTGAGAGAAATTGCTAGTCCCTTGATCAGTTTGAAATAAGAAACCTTCTAAGTATGGAAGCCCCTATATTGGGAGATATTAACATATCTATTACAAATATAGGATTATATTTATTAATATCTACTTTTATAATTTTAAGTGGTAGTGTTTTAGCTACTAATTATAATAAAATTATAAGTAATAGCTGATCAATTAGTCAAGAAACATTATATGCAACAATACATAGTATTGTTACAAATCAAATAAACTCTGTAAAAGGTCAATTATATTTCCCTTTATATATGCCTTATTTGTATTTATTTTAATTAATAATTTAATAGGTTTAGTTCCATATAGCTTTGCATCTACTAGTCATTTTGTATTAACTTTTGGACTTAGTTTTACTATAGTTTTAGGTGCAACTATATTAGGATTCCAAAAACACGGGTTAGAGTTCTTTTCTTTATTAGTACCAGCTGGTTGTCCTTTAGGTTTATTACCTTTATTAGTTTTAATTGAATTTATTTCTTATTTAGCTAGAGCTGTATCATTAGGGCTTAGATTAGCTGCTAATATCTTAAGTGGTCATATGTTATTACATATCTTAGCTGGATTTACTTATAATATCATGACTTCAGGATTTATATTCTTCTTTTTAGGTTTAATGCCTTTAGCGTTTATAATTGCTTTCTGTGGTCTTGAATTGGGTATTGCTTTTATACAAGCTCAAGTGTTTGTGGTATTAACAAGTAGTTACATTAAAGATGGATTAGATTTACATTAAGTGTAAGACATATTATATTATAAATTTTATAATATATATATATATATAATATATATATAAACTAAATGAAAATTTTGTAATTTTATGATTAGATTTTTTATTTTAAATTTTAGATAGGTATTTATACGTATGTTTAACCATAGGTATGGTTAAGATCAATAGGTATATTAAGAATAAATCTTATATTAATATAAAATTTGCATATAGATTTGTTAAAGTCCAGTGTTTATTAAACTTATACAGGTATAAAGTGTTAAAGCTAAAGTTTTTGGTATAGTACAGAAAAATTTTTTAATATACAAAATTTTGTATATGAAATACATTTAAGCAAGTCTATCTTGTTTATTACGTAGTATTATGTTAAAATACAAGCCTACAGTTAAAAGTTAAGACAGACTAATTATTAAACAGAAACTGGCTTAATTGTATATCTATTTATTTTTAGATTTTCTTAGATTTATACATATAGTCTACAAGAATTATTTAAATTTAATAGAGGATTTATTTGTATAAATACAAAGTGTATATCATGTGCAATTTTCATTAAATGTAATATCTTAAAAATCTGAATCAGATTATTAAGTTATTAATACAACTGGTTATAATCCAGGCTCTGTCGGGGATGATCTTAAATTATTGTAATGTTAAATACACATTAGTAGTATTAATATTTAATTAACTAATTAATTATTAATACAATTATAGAATATATTTGAGTTTGATGATGGCTCTGAATGAACGCTGTCCAAATGCTTGACACATGCTAATCGTACGTTTAATATAATATAATAGTCTTCAGGTTAAGCCTGGAAAACTATTTATTTAATTAAAAGTGGTGTACAGGTGAGTATATGATATTTTGGCTACCTTAAAGTAAGGCTAATAAATACCTTATAAAGAAAGGAAGTAAATTTCCGCTTTAAGATGACAATAAATATCTCGGATAGGTAGTAGTTAAGGTAATGGCTTAACTAGCTTAAAATTCCGTAATCGAGGCTGAGAGGTCCATCGGTCACATTGGGTCTGAAAAAAGCCCAATACGTATAGTACAGCAGTGGGGAATATTGGTCAATAGCCTAAAGGCTGAACCAGCAATTTGGAAGAACGTAAAGCTTCGGCTTGTGAAACCTAAAAATAAAGGTAAGCATCGACTATGTCGAATAAAGTTCTAGATATAATATTGATTATGACAAATTTTTATCTATTTGTCTTGACCAAAATACGTGCCAGCAGTCGCGGTAATACGTAAAAGACAAGTGTTATTCATCTTTAATAGGTTTAAAGGGTACCTAGACGGTATTATTAGCCCAAAAAGGGTACGATAGTACTAGAGTTTTATAGGAGAAGGAGGTATTTATGGTGGAGAGTTTATATTTAATTATACCTTAGAGACTGGTAAAGGCGAAAGCAACCTTCTATCTAATAACTGACGTTGAGGTACGAAGGCCTGGGTAGCAAACAGGATTAGATACCCTAGTAGTCCAGGCAGAGAATTCTAAATGCCATATGCTAGATTAATTTAGCATATAAATGAAAGTGTAAGCATTTCACCTTAAGAGTAATGCGGCAACGCAGAAACTGAAATCATTAGGCCGTTTCTGAAATCAGTAGTGAAGTATGTTATTTAATTCGATAATCCACGAAAAACCTCACCACGATTTGCATATTATTTTTAATCTTAATTGGTTAAAATTATTACAAGCGTTGCACGGCTGTCTTCAGTTAATGTCGTGAGATTTTGGTTAGTTCCATAAAATTAACGTAAACCCTTGCTTTATTTTTAAATAGTATTTTATAGAGCAGTTCGCCATTATATTGGTTGATATATGGGACCAAGACAAGTCATCATGACCTTAATGTTGTGGGCTATAGACGTGCCACATAACCCTATACAAAGAGATGCGAAAATGTGAATTTAAGCTAATCTCAAAAGTAGGATATAATACGGATTGTAGTCTGTAACTCGACTACATGAAGAAGGAATTACTAGTAATCGTGAATCACCATGTCACGGTGAATTTTTTCTCGGATAGGTACTTACTACTCGTCGCGCGCTGAAAGAAGTTTATGCAATAAGTTTGGTCAACTATTTATTTTTAATTAAGATAATACGTTCTTTATATATATTTAGTTAATTTTCGTATGTGTTACTTCGATTGGTGTTAAGTCGAAATACGGTTCGTGTAGTGGAAATTGCACGGGGCTAATTAAAGTAAACAATAAACTGTATGTAATATTTAAGATATTGTATACTAAAGGAAGGTTCCGTTTGTTGGTATGACGGGTTGAGCTGTAAACTCAATAGCCTTTTGCTGTCGAAGGTTCAATTCCTTTTCTTCCTAAATAGTTTATTAAGCCTAATAGCCCAAATGCGGGTTGATGTAATAGTAACATAACTGACTCATGATCAGTATATATTGGTGCAAATCCTTTGCCCGCACTTTAATCAACAACTTCATTGTATATGTAGAGCCTTTATAGCTCAAAGGTAGAGCATAATACTGTTAATATTGTGGTTAGATGTTCGAATCATCTTAAGGGCTAATTAATAATGTTTATGTTTCTGTTTATGTTCTGTCTATGTTTCTGTTTCTGTATCTCTACCTATCTGTTTCTTAATTTAATTTAATTTAATTCTGTTTGAGTTTATTTATTTTTTATGTGTGTTAGCTTAATAGGTAGAGCTTTGTGCTACGGACACAAGGGTACAAGTTCGAATCTTGTACTCACTTTCCTGACTAGGTTTACTCAATGTACTTAAAGTATGTACACAATATAATTCTAATTATCTAATATATAGATATATCTTAGTCAAAAGTGTAGGGATTTAAAAAACTATACATAAAAATGAACTTATCACTTTTTGTTTTTCATGAAACTTTTACAAACGGGTACCAAACAGAGGTATTAGACTTGTTGTCTTTGATTTGTATTTTTTCTGGTATCTTGGTCATAGTATGTAAGAATCCCATAGTTTCTGTGCTATTTTTAATCGGGTTATTTTTAAGTATATCTTGTTATCTTATAGTGTTAGGCCTTAATTTTATAGGTTTATCTTACTTATTAGTTTATGTAGGAGCTGTTTCTATTTTATTCCTTTTTATACTTATGTTAATAAATGTTAGAATAAGTGAATTATCAAATGAAACAAGTAATAGTATCCCACTTCTTATATTTGGTTTAGGTCTTGGTCTTAGTTTTCCAGCTGATAACTTATGACCTTTAAAGGGGAGTCTTGATGAAAAAAGTGTTAATATAAACTTAGATAATAATCTAATTAATATAGAAGATATTACACCAAAGGATCTTGATTTAAGCTATGTTACAAGTAAAACATGGGACGGAACTTTATCTGAAACTAGTCATATAACTACTATTGGAAATATTTTATATTCTAGTCATAGTATATGATTAATATTGACCTCGATAATTTTATTATTAGCTATGGTAGGTGCAATTGTTATAACAATAAAACAAAAAAACTAGTGCAATACTAAGATTTAATATTAAATTGTCTATAGTAATTATAGATGGGTTAGCTCAAAGGGTAGAGTTTTGTGTTATGGACATAAGGACACAAGTTCGAATCTTGTACTCACTTTCGCACTAGGTTTACTCAATGTACTTAAAGTACGTACACAATATAATTCTAATTATCTAATATATATATCTATGTATCTTAGTCAAAAGTGTAGAATAATATATAAAAATTAAATTAAACAAAAGATATTCGAATTGTTAAGAACATTTCTGGAAAATTTTACCAATAGTGGTTTAGATTATTTAGTAGCAGTAGCACCCTATTTAATTAAATTACCTGATTTATCTTTGTGTGAGTCTCTTATCTTAAGTAAGCAATCTTGAGGGCTTATTGCATGAAATAGTATAATTAAAGAAACTAGGTGTTTAGAGTATATAATGTTCCTAACGGTTATTTATATAAGAATGGTAATATAATTATACCTCTAAGTAGAATTTGTGACGTAGATGCTGTAGCTCATGGTGTTATATGTGGTAATGTTAATTTAGATGTACTTATCGCAGACTATCGTGTTATGCTTAACAGTCGATATTTTTCGGAATTAGCTATTCTTGAAGCTGACCCTGAAACGGGTAGAATTCGTATTATGTGGCATATAGCTATAAATGTGCACAATCATGGAGTAGCGGAGTAATTTAAATCTGTGGTTTTGAGGAGAGTAAGTGAAATAACTGCTGCTGGTGGTACATAAAGTATTAACATAAATATAGGTTAATATATATATATAAATTAATCCTAGAGGGATTAGCTCAATTGGTAGAGCAACCGTTTTACACACGGTAGGTTGAATGTTCGAATCATTTATCCCTTAAAAGGAGTTTATTATAAAGTTATTAATATTTAATACATTAGTCTGTCTTTTATACTTCCTTTTGTAAATTTCTTTTTTTTTATCTAGAAGAATAAATGTAAGTCTATATCAATACCTACATATGTATCAGATTCTAAATAAAATTAAAAATATGAAGCTAATTATTACCCGATTCTATTTATACTACAGAGAAAACTTAATTCATAATAGATGAGTTAATTAAAGGTCTGTAATATATATTAATCTAAATATAAAGACCGGACAATTTATAGGTTAATATATATATATTAACCCTAGAGGGATTAGCTCAATTGGTAGAGCAACCGTTTTACACATGGTAGGTTAAATGTTCAAATCACTTATCCTTTAAATAGAGTAGTATCTACAATAAATTGAACGTCTCCTTAAACCATGTATATATACGTATCTTTTTTTTTTAGGTATTAGTTCTTCTAAATATGAATGTTATATCAATATTTAACACGAAAAATAAAAATGTATCTGATTAATACACAAATAGTGAAAAAGGAAAATTAAGTTTGTTCCAGACAAGTAAAGAAAAATAAAAAGATGACAAACCTTAACAGAAGTCAGTTTCAAGCACATCCGTTTCATTTAGTTTCTCCTTCACCTTGACCTATTTACACATGTATTGCCTTATTTAATTTAACTACCAGCGGTGTCTTAACTATGCACGGATTTAGTAACGCAGGATTCTATTTAGCTTGTTCTTTTATAGCTGTTGTTTCTTCTATGTCCTTTTGATGACGTGATGTTATAAGTGAGGGTACATATTTAGGTAATCATACATTAGCAGTACAAAAAGGGTTAAACATGGGTGTTGCTCTATTTATTGTTTCAGAAGCATTATTTTTCTTAGCTATCTTTTGAGCCTTCTTTCATAGTGCTTTATCACCTACTGTAGAATTAGGTGCTCAATGACCACCTATGGGTATAGAAGCTATAAATCCTTTTGAATTGCCTTTGCTTAATACTATTATATTATTGTCTAGTGGTGTAACAGTTACATATGCTCATCATTCTTTAATACAAGGAAACAGAAGTGGAACCTTATACGGTATAGTAGCTACAGTTTTATTAGCCTTAATCTTTACAGGTTTTCAAGGTGTAGAGTACACAGTCTCTTCATTTACTATAAGTGATGGAGCCTACGGATCATGTTTTTATTTTGGGACAGGTTTCCATGGGATACACGTAATGATAGGAACAGCTTTTATAGCTGTAGGTTTATGACGTGTATTAGCTTACCATGCTACAGATAACCATCATTTAGGTTTAGAGTCAAGTATATTGTATTGACATTTTGTAGATGTAGTATGACTTTTCTTATTCGTATCTATATACTATTGAGGGTCATAAATATAACTATATAAGTATTAGTAAACTAATAAAAGATAAATAATATTATATATCTTTAGAGACTTTGGCTTAATTGGTAAAGCATGTGCCTTTTAATCACTATTATATGGGTTCAAATCCCATAGGTCTTAAAAGAAATAAGCGGCTATAAGTTAATGGTAAACCCGACGTCTTCCAAACGTTTTATGTCGATTCGACTTCGGCTAGCCGCAAAATAACAAGGGTTAGTCACTTAATTGGTAAAGGACTTTCTTGTCACGAAAGTAGATGTCGGTTCGAATCCGGTCTGGCCCGCATATATACTGAAATATGTTTTTTATTGTTAGCATAAAAAAGTCTTTTTATTATGTTATCATAGAAAGGAAAAGTTGCCATTGGTAAGGCGAGATATTTGCTAAATATTGTGTATTAACACCTGGATGTTCAATTCATCTCTTTTCCGTTAATAAAAAGCTATACTTTTCGTTAAGGTTTTAATAAAAGAGAGCATAGTTTAATAGGCAAAACAAGAAGCTTCAGATTTCATGTTCTCAGTTCAAGTCTGAGTACTCTGTAAAACAACATATATTAGTTTAGCATAAGGTTCTTTAACTTAATTGGTAAAGTGCGTTTTTGATAAGGATGTTATTCAAGTTCAAGTCTTGAAAGAATCATAGTATAATACTATATAAATTATATGTTGTAAACATAGTAAAAGAGAATTGGCCGAGCGGTTTAAGGCGGTAAACTTGAGATTTATTTGGTTTTTATAAATCACATCCGTTCAAATCGGATATTCTCTGTATTATTAGCAATAATACATTATTATAAACGGGTTAGAGCCAGGTTGGTTAGGCGTCTCATTTGGGTTGAGGAATTGTTATGTTCGAACCATATAACCCGAAAATACGTAATTTAGTACTACATGTACTAAATTGGTATTAGTAATATAATGTAATGGATATAGATTTAATGTTTATATACTATAAATTGTAGTATAAGCAAGTATATAAAGAAACTATTAGGAATACCTTGCTATATATTAAAGAGAGTAATATTTTAAATTGTGTAAAAATACTTAACACATGAACTCTTAGATAAATTCAGTAATAAACGAAGTGAATTGAAACATCTTAGTAGCTTTAGGAAAAGAAATCAAACGAGATTCTACAATTAGTGTGAATTAAAGTAGAAGAGCCTAGAGTATTAAAAGGAGATAAAGGATAACTAAATCTCTATTAATACTTTAAATAAGTAGAACGGGCTATAAACCTGTTTGAATGTTAAGGGGAACCTTCCTCTAAGGCTAAATATAATATATAAGCGACAGCGTATAGTTCTGTGAAGGAAAGGTTTGAATTAGTAGTTTTATAAGCAGCTCAAGCAAAGTTTAAAACATAGTGAGAGCGTACCTTTTGCATAATGGGTCAGTAAGTTAATGTTAGATGCGAGCAGCAATGCCTAGATAAACCAATTATGAAATAATGAATTAGTATCTAAAATTAGACCCGAAGCCTGGTGATCTTACCATAGTCAGGGTTATAAAAGCCCGAACGGGTTATCGTTGTATAGATATCCGATGAACTGTGGTAAGTTAGTGAAAGACAAAACTGACCAGGATAGCTGGTTTTCTGCGAAACCTATAGAAGTAGGTAATTTAAGTTACATCATAGCAGGTACAGAACTGTGATCTCAGGCAACTTTAATAGATAAATATTTATTTGTGTTATTTATTATTTTTGTACATATCGGGGGATCGTGAAGATTTTATCGGTGAGTATTCGCACTCGGAAGGGCAATGATGAATATTAAATAATCAGACATAGTACGCTAAGGTTGTATGTCTAAAGGGAAACAGCCCAGAACAAGAGTTAAGGTTCCAAAATTAATATTAAGTGAAATTAAGGAAGTTTCTATCAAATACGACTAGGAAATAGGCTTAGAAGCGGCCATTTTTTGAAGACCTCGTAACAGAGCACTGGTTCAGTAAATAGTTTACTATTTACATTGATAGTGGCACCGGAAATTTAACGGATCTAAATAATATACCGACACCTTGTCCATATTAAAACATAATATTATATAATATGGGGTAGCGGAACGTTGGGGTAAATTTTAGACTATTTCTTAAAAAGATTTAGGAATAAATGACCCAAGTGACAATGCTGACATGAGTAACGAAAAAGGGGGTATATCCCCTCGCCTAAAGCTTATGGATTTTTTAAAGTAACGGCCTCTAAGTTTATAAACCTAAAGGATTAAACGATGAGAAAATCTTGTCTACAAAGTAACAACCTTTTATAAGAAAAGAGATTAAGATGTTTCGTCTTATTATCTTTTTCTTAAGTGAAGAAGGTTCTGGAAAAACAGTAAAAACCTTAAATAGTAAATATCTTAAAAATATTTATTATTAAGGCGACATAATAACCGTACTAGAGTCTACCCCAAGTAAGCAAGTAGAGTATACGAAGGCGTTTGAGTGAACAATCATTAAGGAACTCGGCAAACTAACTACCGTAACTTAGGGATAAGGAGAGCCATTCCTCCTGATTAATATCAGGTAAAGAATAGGAAGCATGGAATAGTGTTGTACGACTGTTTAATTAAAACAAAGCACTCTGCAGTAAGATAATAAATCAAAGTATTGAGTGTGATTTCTGCCCGATGTCGGCTGGTTAACGGATTTATTAAGTTGACTAATATAAGCTTGACTTTGAAGGAAACCCCGATCAATGGCGGCCTTATTTTGAGGGTCCTAAGGTAGCGGAATACCCTGGCCGTTAAATGCGGTCTTGCATGAATGATTTAACGATACAACAGCTGTCTCAATGATTGGCTCAGTGAAATTGGAATAACTGTGCAGATACAGTTTACCTCTAGTTAGACGAGAAGACCCTATGCAGCTTTACTGTTGCTAGTTATTGAATGTGATTTAATTAATTTTAGTAATATAAGGTAATTGGTTAGATATTATTGGAAGACCTTTATTTTATTCGTCATATTGATAGATTTATTCTATTTTCTTATCTAAAGATAGGAAATTACCCCTACTATGTTAGGGAAACAATGGCTAGGAGGCAGTTTATGCGGGGCACAGATCCATAAAAAGTACCTGGGTGTATCCAAAGTTAATTTTGTAAAATTGACATGACTTACTTCTAAGTATACTATTTGGGAAATAAGTTTTCATGACTAACAATACATTATATATTTAATGTATTTATTTTTAGTTTGTTATTTGGTGTAGCTTATGCTATAACTAATCCAGCTATTTATCTATTAAGTTAGAAATATTTTTTTATCCTAGTAAGATTTTATCTATATGGAAAATAGATGTAATTAAAACATTGAAGTAGATATCTTTCCAATGTTTTTTAATTTTTTTATTAGGTGTATTTGGTGAAACCAAACTACAAATTGCTAATATGATAATTATGTTTATTACTTGTCAAGTTTAATGGCTTAATCTTGCTTTACTGTTTGACTTACACGTCTATCAGTCGCGTAAGCGGGCATATGATCACAAGATGCAGAAAGGAAAGGTCTTGGATTTATGAAAAAGCTACGCTAGGGATGTTAGTCCTCCAATGTTTAAGTCTACTAATATTTAATATTGGTTAATTAGACTTAAACTCATTGGCAATTTATTGGGTTAATTTCAAGAATAACTTTGTCTGAGGACTTAGTATACTTGAAGCGAACTTTACTTTAGCATAATTACCTTAAAAAGGTGTTAAAAGTAAAACCGTTCAACGACTAGAAAGTGAGTTATGCTAACAATAATCTTTCTAATAATGCCCAACTTTCTTAATATATAGTTATATAATTGCAATATTATTTTATATTGCTTAACCTTAGTTAATATTAATTTATTAATGAAATAGTCTTTACTTTAGTTTAGTTTCTTTAAAGTTTTTAGATTAAAGTAAAGCTTATTACCACTGTATTATGTTGGTATAAATAATTAAAAAACCATGAAAAATAATAACCAAAAAACTGAAATATTGAAACCCCTTATATTTAACAAAAAAATAAATTTTAAACATAAAATAATACCTTTAGATGTTATTTCTAACACTATAGGTCCTACTCGTGTTTTTCCTGCTGCGACTAAAGAATGATTTAATTCTGTGTATGCTTATAACCAAAGTTATATAAAAAATTTATCTATTGCAGATAAAACTTTAAGTCAGTTAGTTAAAAGTTATTTTAATTTTTATTTTAATAATAAACATTAAAAAGTAGTAAAATAGCTATAAGATTAGAAGACTATCTCTAAATAAGATATTGATAAGTAAAGCAGAATTAAAACACACAAGTTCTAAAGTAACAGTAACCTTATATACATATAATGCAGAAAAAATTTATTTAACTTTAAAATTGAAAATTTAATAAAAGCTTATTTTACCTCTATACTTAAAAATCTTGATATAAATCCATCTTTAATAAATCTATTACATGATATAAATGTATATAAAAAAGAAGCTTCTCTTGTAGATTATTTAGAGGAGTTAAAGTCTAATTTAAAGTCAAATCTAGACTTAAAAGTAGACCCTTATATGGTATCATATTTAGATATTATAAATGAAATGATAATTTTAAGTAAAAATGATAAAATAGCTCATAAAAAATTGGACCAATTATATACAGAGTCCTTAAGAAAAATTTTTTAAGTAAAGAAATTAAGAGATTGCTACATGTAAACTTTTACTTAACTTAAATAAATCTAAATTTGAGGATGAGTTTATATTAAAATTAAAAGGAATAATAGGTAAACTTTACAGTAAAGAAGTAGAATTTAATATAGTAAATTTAAAAAACTTTTGTATTTCATAGTGACATTTTTACAGAAGTAATATCTACAAAATTGAAAAATAGAAAAAATAATCTATTAAATGTCTTAAAATCTTCCCTTATATTTAGTTAAATTACCTAGAGTTAATAAGATAAAAGAAAATAGTGTAAAAGTAGATAACTTTTGCCTAGATCACCTTAAAAATTTACATATTAATTCTAATATAAATAAATATAACACAGATAAGGATACGTTAGATCAATTATTACTAGATATATTACCTTCTTCAACGTTTATGTCAGGTGATAAAGATAAACACCTTTAACAGCTTATAATGAAAATTATATTAACACTTATAATCCGTTAGATATTGTATTTGATTCTTTGAAAAAAATAAGGATACTTCGGGTGTAAGATTAGAAGCTAAAGGTAGATTAAGTAAACGTTCTACTGCCTCTAGATCTGTATTTAAGGTAAAATGAAAAGGTAGCATTAAAATTTGGATTCTTCTTATAGAAAATTATCATCAGTAATGTTAAGAGGTCATGCTAAATCTAATGTGCAATATACTGTAGTAAATACAAAAACACGTAGTGAGCTTTTGGTCTTAAAGTTTGAATAAGCAGTAAATAATTACTAAATAGTATATATCCTTTTAAATTATTCTTCATAATTCTCGCGTTGCATTTACTATATAAAAAGAAATGAAGAAATAGTCTGAACCATCTTGTGAAAGATGGAAATAAAGGATAAATAACCTTTATGATAACAAATTTTGAACAGGCTAATTGCGCCAGGAAGTACAAATTGAGTGCGCAGTTTGGCACCTCGATGTCGGCTTAACTTATCCACATGAATGCAGTAATCATGAAGGGTTCGACTGTTCGTCGATTAATAAGTTACACGAGCTGGGTTAAATACGTCGTGAGACAGTATGGTTTCTATCTTCTAGAGGAAATTAGAATAAAATAAGGATAGCCCCCTCGTACGAAAGGAGCTGGGTAAATTAACCTCATGGTTTACCTGTTGTTTATGTGCCCATATTAATAAAAGTATAATTAAGTTTATACAGGGATGTTACTTTCACTTAAGTAAATATATAGCATAGGCACGGCAGGAACGCTACGTTAGTTAAAGAAAGTGCTGAATGCATCTAGGCGCGAAACTTACTTTAAGATATTCTTAAATATAGGTAGTTTTAACACTACGATTTCCATATTTTATTAAATATGTGATTAATAGGCTTTAGCTGAAAGAATTTAAATGTTTTTAGGCATAAAGTACTAATTTTATAATAACTGATTATTATATATATCTTACATTATATTATCTCTATTGTTTTTTTTTTTAAGATATAAAAAAAAAATCCTAAAATTTTTTATAAGGCCAATTAATAAGCCTGGTTAGGCATAAAAGTAATGTAGCTGTTTTGTAACCAGCTGAAGCAAGTGCGATACTTGCACTGGGCTTGGTTTAACAAAAAAAAGTTTTTTTAGTATTTCTATTAACATATATACCTTATACCGATAATAGGTAATGAGTATAAAATGTATATACTTTCGGTTTTTATGTATTAAATTGATTATTTAAGTCATAAAAGGCCTTATAGTCGAGGGGTTAAGACTTGATACTTTCACTGTCATATTCGAGGGTTCGAGTCCCTCTAAGGTCAATGAATAATATCATTTTTATTTAATATTATGCAAATGTTACAATCTATATTATAAATGTTATAGTGCATAAGATATATATATATTAGTAGATGTATACATGGTATATATGGTTTAGACCGGTATTTAAAGGTTATAGCTTAATTGGTAAAGCAAGCTGCTCATGACGGTTTAGATGAGTGTTCAAGTCACTTTGGCCTAATATTATATAGGTCCGAGTGCTGGAATGGTAGACAGGGTAAACTTAAGCTTTACTGATATAATATCGTGAACGTTCAAGTCGTTTTTCGGATAGTATTTAACTAAATATATTATTTGGTTTATATAATATTTATATATAATATATTTAGAGGTTTATATTTTAAACTATCTATATAGGGGACATAGTTTAATTGGTAAAACTGGCGACTTTGCAAGTCGTTATCTCAGGTTCGAATCCTGATGTCTCCATAATTAAATCTAAATTTTAGCTCGAGAAGCTCAATTGGTAGGGCGAGGGTCTTGAAGCGATCTAGGTTGTAAGTTCAACTCTTATCTCGAGCATATTTCCTATATAGGTGTATTTAAATTAACAAAGGTAGTGATGGAATTGGTAGACATGAATAGCTTAGGACTATTTGATTTTCTTATCTTACCCGTTCAAGTCGGGTTTACCTTATAAAACTATGTATAGTATATATATTTGGAGTAAAATAAAGCATAGATATATAAGTATACTCCAAATTTATATATCTATGCTGTAGACTAATAGGCAAGTCATAGGTTTTTGATGCTTATTATTGGGTGTTCGAATCACTTCAGCATAATAAAACCTAAAAGATAAAGGTGGGTATAGTTTCAATCGGTAGAACGACTGTATGTGGCACAGTATGTTCCCTGTTCAAGTCAGGGTACTGACCCTTTAAATTAAAAAAAGATAAGATATAAGTCAGCCAGGATAGTTTAATTGGTTAGAACATTAATTTCATGCATTAATAATGAGAATTCAAATTTCTCTCCCGGCTCATGTTAATTCTTTCACTTATTTCATTATAATGTCGAATGCCGTTTCATTGAGACGAGACAAATCTATTCTATATAGCAGAATAACTATAATAATTTTATTATTATCTAGTTATCTTACTTTAGATAGTTTATATTTAACAAACTTAGATACGGGGATAGGTTTATACGGGGGTTTATTTAGTGCTACAAGCATAACTCATACATTTCAGTTATTTATCTTTTTAGTTAGTGCTGCTATATTACAATTAACAAGTTTTTATCCTAGAAAAGTCTTTTTTAAAAACTCTTCTAAGTTATTATCTTATAATACAATTAACTTTAAATCTAAAATTTTAAATAAAATGGGAGAACAATTTAAAATAATTGAATACCCTTTAATTATATTGTTTATTATAACAGGTGCTTGTTTTTTTAGTTTCAACAAGTGATTTAGTGTCTATTTTTTAGTATAGAGTTACAAAGTTATGGGTATATTTATTAAGTACTATATATAGAAATTCTGAACAAGCAACTAGTGGAGGTCTTACTTATTTTTTTATTAGGTGATTAGCTTCTTGTTTTATATTATTAGGTTCGGCCCTTTTATATGCTAACTCTGGTACTACTAGTCTTGATGGTATATATGTTATTGCTAGTATAAGCGATTTAGGTTGTGATATAAGCAATAATACTCAATCTTGATATAAACCTGATTATATAAATATGTCTTTACTTATATTATGTGTAGGATTTTTATTTAAAAATAAGTGCTGCACCTTTTCATTTTTGATCACCTGATGTTTATGATGCTGTGCCTACTGTAGTTACTACATTTATTGCTATAATAGCAAAAATATCTATATTATAATTCTTTTTAGAATTAGTGCACTATACTAGTAATTCCTTATTTATAAATAATTTTAGCTGAACTACTAGCTTATTAGTCAGTTCTTTACTATCATTAATAATAGGTTCAGTATTAGTTTAACACAATTTAGAATAAAAAGATTGTTTGCCTATAGTACTATAAGTCATGTAGGATTTATATTATTAGCTTTAAGTATTAACAGCATAGAGTCAATTCAAGCTTTCATTTTTTATTTAATGCAATACTCTTTAAGTAATTTAAATGCATTCATGTTGTTATTAGCAATAGGATATTCATTGTATTGCTATAGTAATGAGAATAAAAAATATAGTTTTTTATTAGATAAGAATAACTCACCTATACAATTAATTAGTCAAATGAAAGGTTTCTTTTATATAAATCCTATGTTAGCTTTAAGTTTAGCTATTACTTTATTTTCTTTTGCAGGTATACCTCCTCTTATAGGATTTTTTGCAAAACAGATGGTATTAAGCGCAGCTTTAGATAGTGGATATGTTTCATAACACTTGTTGCAATATTAACTAGTGTAATAAGTGCAGTATATTATCTAAACATTGTAAAAGAGATTTTCTTCGATAAACCTGAATATAAAGTAAATCCTTATATTTCAGATGTTGACATGTATGCGACTATAACCAAAAAGAATGGAATAGTTCAAAAATTAAGCTTTAAATATGATAGCATAATACTATCAAGCCATTTAACTATAACAATAAGTATTTTAACTTTAATAATCTTATTATTTATTTTATGCCTCAAGAATCATTAAGTATGTCAAATATATTAGCTTTAATATTATTTAACTCATAATGTCTAGTATTACTTTTTTTTGTATTTATACCATTATTAGCTATCATTTATTAGCTGTAAATTTAATATTCGCTCCTCATAATCCTTACGATGAAAAGGATAGTGCATTTGAATGTGGTTTTCATTCTTTTTTAGGACAAAATAGAACACAATTTAGTATTTCTTTTTTTATATTTGCCCTTTTGTTTTTATTATTTGATTTAGAAATACTTTTAGTTTATCCTTATGTAGTTAGTGCATATGCTAACGGTGTATATGGTTTAACTATAATGCTTGTATTCTTTTTAGCCTTAACGCTAGGTTTTGCCGTTCGAATTAGGTAAAAATGCCTTAAAAATAGAAAGTAGACAAACTTACACTTTACATAGTAATTACATTAAAATTAATAAAATAGTAGGTAAGCCTGCAAAAGTTTAAATTTGTTTTTTTTTGTATTAGATATATTCGGGTAGGGTATATTTCATCTTTTCTGTCTGCTTTATTTAATTTTGTCTAGTATATGTTATTATCTCTTTTATTAGTAATACCTTTAATAGGTATATTTATAATATCCACTTGCATGTCTTATGATACCTCTGCCTTAAATAATAAACGTATAAAAACAACAGGTTTAATAACATCCATTGTTAATTTATTATGTTCATTCTTAATATTCATACTTTTTTGATTTTAGTGTTAATCAATTTCAATTTGTACAAGAGTATCATGAAGTTAGTTCATATGATTTTTATTTAGGTGTTGATGGGCTATCTATATATTTGTGCTATTGACTACTATTATAGTACCTATAGCACTACTTTCTAACTGGAAATTCTATAAAAGAAAATATAAGATCTTATGTTATTATTAATTACTATTAGAAAGCTTATTATTAGCTGTATTTTTAGTATTAGATATTATTATTATTTTATGTGTTTTTTGAAAGTATATTGCCCCCTTTATTTTTATTAATTGGTTTATTTGGATCAAGTAATAAAGTAAGAGCAAGTTTTTATTTATTTTTATATACATTATTTGGGTCATTATTCTTATTATTATCGATACTTACGATGTCATCTATAATGGGAACAACAGATTTTGATGCTTTATATAAAACTAATTTTAATTACTCTACACAATATTCTTATTTTATGGTATATTTATAGCATTTGCTATTAAAACTCCTACTATTTTTTTAAAACACATGGTTATTAAAAGCTCACGTTGAATCACCTTTAGGTGGTAGTATCCTATTAGCAGGTATTGTGTTAAAATTAAGTTTATATGGTATATTTAGACTTATATTACCTTTATTACCTAAAGCTTCTTTAGATTATACATATATAGTATATCTTATAGGGGTAATCACTATAATATATGCTAGTTTTAGTACGTTAAGAACAATAGATATTAAAGAACTAATTGCTTATAGTTCTGTTCACATGCTGCAGTATATTTAATAGGTGTGTTAGTAATACAATACAAGGTATAGAAGGAGGTATAGTTTTAGGTTTAGCTCATGGTTTTGTATCTAGTGGTTTATTTATATGTGTAGGTGGTGTATTATATGACAGATCTGGGACAAGATTGATACCATTTTATAGAGGTATAGCTCAAATTATGCCTATATTTTCTATATTATTCTTTATATTATGTTTAGCTAATTGTGGTGTTCCTCTTACTTTAAATTTTGTTGGGGAATTATGTCTTTATATGGTGTATTTGAAAAATTACCATTATTAGGTGTAATGGCTAGTTCTTCTGTTGTCTTTTCAGCTGCTTACACTATTTTTATGTTTAATAGAATAGCTTTTGGAGGAGCCTTCTTTTTAACTTTAAAAAACCAATATAGTTTAGTAGATTTAAATGTACGAGAATTTTTCATGCTATTTAGTCTAGTTCTTCTTACAGTAGTCTTAGGTATATATCCTGCTCCAATTTAGACGGATTACATTATTCAGTGTCAACATTAATATATAGCTTTTTTCGCCCCTAATATGTTATTTTTATTTTTTATATATTACTTTTAATATGGATTATTACAATAATTTACATTTGCAAATCTAGTTTTTTATTAATGATACAAAGAATTCAGATGTTTTATTTTTGTAGAATCGCTATGCTACCAACTAAGACTATATACATAATAGTATGGTTAATTATAACATTAATTAACAACATATGGGGTAATTTTGATATAGTAGATTACTTAGGAATTGAAACACGTGAATTAAAACAAACATTTTTAGACTGTGTCTTTTCAGTAAGATCAACAGACAACGAATCTGTGGGTAGTAATACTGATAGTAATAGTGATACTGATAGTAGTACTGAGAATAACAGAAGAGCAGCGGAAGAGGAAAAGGAAGAGAGAGAGGAAGAGAAACAAGTCTCGGAAGACGATAGTGACTATGTGTATTCTGAATCTGATTCTGAACCTGATACTAGTACTGAGAGTGAGAAAGAAAGTACGAGAAGGGAACTAGAGAAGGAAGTCTTAGCGTGAAACGCTCAGCTTGCGTCTATTGTTCGTGAGACTTATGAGGATGAAGAAGTAGATGTTTACGATAAAGCCCTTGCTAAAAGTAAGGCTGCTCTTTGTAAGGATTATTCTGAAATATTTGATCATATAGAGGCAACTGAGGATGATCCAAGTAAACGTAGTAAATACTTGAATTATGATGCTAGATTACTTAAGAAGGAATTGGATGATTTGCCTGATGTAGTGACGGATCTTCTTATAGATTTAGAAACTGGAAATGCACAGTCTGCAAAAGGTCCTATCGGTCCTCCTGGTACTCCTGCTACAGAAGATGTTCCAAGAAATATTACTCGTTCTCTGGATAGTATTACTGCTAAGCTAGAGAATATTGCTGCAACAAGGTCTGCTGCTCCTGTAGATGATATTGCTGCACCTGCAGAAGAGTCTCCTGCAGAAGAGTCTGCTGCTTCTGCAGAAGAGTCTGCTGCTCCTAGCGATGTTCTTTCAAGAGGGAATTGAAGACCATGGACTCCACCTATAAATGAAAGTCCTATAGGTGATACTGCTGCTCCTTCTGTAGATGATCTTGTAAGTAACAAGAGAAAATTTGATTCGGACTCGTCAGATTCTTCTCCAGACAAAGGTAACAAAATAGTCAAGACT